AGGCCGAGCCGAGGCAGCGTGGGTGGAGTTGGCGCGCGGCGGCCCGGGCCTCCCTCCTCCGCCTCCTGTCGGGGGCGGAGCCACGGTCTGAACCGGCGCGGCTTGGGCCCCAGGAAGCCTGGAGTTCCTCGCAGTTGGCTGCGGGGAGGTGCAGACCGGAAGGGGCGCTGCCCTCGAGTTCTGCGGTTGTGCAAGGCGCGGTAGTTCTAGCCGTCGGACTCAGGGCCCCCACCCCTGGCGAGGTTGTCGGGTGTTAGGCTTAGTTAGGATTCAGATGATTGGGCTGGGGAGCAGTGCAGTCCGGGTTGGGTTGAGATTACAGGGCAGGTTTAGTATGTTTCACAAACAGTGCCCTTGGTTTGGTGTGGATTTTGTCTAGCGGATGAGGTCGTAATCCTCACAGAGAAAGATTAGCCGGGTTAGTCCTGCTTGGAATCTTGCCTGTCTTGTAACATTTGGTGTGTGTCTCACCCTACCATTTTCAGGAAAATGTTCGTTGGTGGTCTGAGCTGGGATACGAGCAAAAAAGACTTAAAGGACTATTTTACTAAATTTGGAGAGGTCGTTGATTGTACAATAAAGATGGATCCGAATACGGGACGGTCAAGAGGGTTTGGGTTTATCCTCTTTAAAGACGCTACCAGTGTGGAAAAGGTAAGCTGAGGAACGTGTTCTTACCCAGATGGGACAGTGTTGGACAGACAGCCCATTAGCTTGTGCGATGCTGTGGTGGAATGCTTTGGGACGTCGGTCTGCAACTTAGCTTCTTGTTTGATGGAATGGGGTAAGGGAAGGTATTGTGGAGTGGTTCAGGAAGATGACTGAACATTATCTTTTTGTTTACCCATTTTTCGGCATGCTGCTAAAAACTTTATACTGTGTCCAAGATTGCCCTGAGGATAGGCACTTAAGATTTTACAGGAAGAAAATCCTAAGGCTTGGAGAAATCTAAGTGGAAAGGTGATGTAGCTAAGTAGTTAGTCCAGGCTGAGGATTCCAGGCCCCATGGCTGTCTCCAGCCTGAGCTGGGGTTCATGGTGGGAAGAGGGGACACAGCCTGGGCACAGGCTTGGAGAAGTTGGCTGGGGCACTTTGGAGGGGTGAAGCATGGTTTGTGTGGGCCTAGCTGTATCCTGATCCTATCTGTTTGGAACAGGTCCTAGATCAGAAGGAACACAGACTGGATGGCCGGGTCATTGACCCCAAGAAAGCCATGGCCATGAAGAAGGACCCTGTGAAGAAGATCTTTGTGGGGGGCTTGAATCCTGAAGCCACTGAAGAAAAGATCAGGGAGTACTTCGGCGATTTTGGGGAGGTGAGTGGGCTGCCTACTCTGGTCACTTTGGCTGGCTGAACCCTCAGCAAGACTCTGGCCTCCAGTAGGTCCCTACCTGTGCGTTCTGATGTTTCCTGAGATGTGGGTGGGAGCTTTGCTTCTGAGCACTGCTCATCATTTTTACAGATCGAAGCCATTGAACTTCCAATGGATCCCAAGTTGAACAAAAGACGAGGTTTTGTTTTTATAACTTTTAAAGAAGAGGAACCTGTGAAGAAGGTTTTGGAGAAAAAGTTCCATACCATCAGTGGAAGCAAGGTGAGGTGTCTAAGCTGCATGCCTGCCTGCCTGCCTCTTCTGGAGAGCCAGCTCTGGCCGGAGCAGGGGAGGTTGGATGGCACTGGGTTCTGGTTCCCTGGGCAGTACAGGTGGGTCTGTGCTGCAGAGGGCTTCTGGGCTAGTAGAACTGGGGAAGGTTGTGGATAACATGGGGCTTCTGTGAATGGAGCGCCCTGAGTACACAGCCTGTGTTGCCAATTTAAAGCTAAGGGTGCCCACTGTTGAGAGCTACAGCCCTGGGTGTGCTGAGGAAGGCGTGTTCCTTCTCTGGTAAAGCTGTTTCTGCTCCAGAGCTTATCTGCCCGTCTAGTTTGGGCACTTCCTTAGTCATCTGCCCCAGGCCAAGATCCCTAAGGTCTCTGGCCCCCTTTGGTCCAGCTTGTTGAGCCTTCAAATGTGGAGGCATACAGTGAGATATGTAACTCCTCTGAAGGACCGGGACAGAAGAGAATAGCTTAAGTTTTGAGTTGGTAGTTAGGAGGTAAGGGTGTGGGAGGGTGTGGGCAGCTCATTGCCAAGGTAGGAGTGGTTACCAGATGAGGTGGGAATCCTGGAAGTCTCAGTCCTCAAAGGGAGTTCTTGAAGCTTGGGGTTAGGGCCAGACATAGGGGTCATGCCTCATCCTCGTGTTCTCTGGCCTAAGTAAGCAAGATTGTACCTTGGGTGTATCCTGAGCAACTTGGGAATTTGGGAAGACCCTATTTGAACAGGAAAAAAAAAAAAGGCTGGGGATGTGGTTCAGAGCAAAGTACCCCTGGGTTCAGTCTTTAGTACCAGGCAAAGGAAACTTAATAGGCCCTTAAGGGCCAGGGAGATGGCTCAGTAGAATAAGCACTTGCCTGGCAAGCGCAAGGTCCTGAATTCAATCCCCAAAGTACCAAAGGGGGGAAAAAGGCCCTTCATGAAAAATCTAATAAAAAAAGCTCTTAAGTGTGCATAATAGGGCGGTTGGGTGGGTCATTAGTTAAGCAGAAAGACTTTTATCCGTACCACCAACGTGAAGTGATAAGAAAGAGCCTCAAACTTTTAGAACTGCAGCTTAGTAGCTCTTAGAAACTGAATTGGGTATATTCAGTATCTATTTTTTTTGGGGGGGGGTGGGAGGCGGAACCTGGAATTGAACTCAGTTCCTTGCGCTTGCCAGGGAAGCACTTATTCCACTGAGCCATCTCCTCAGCCCATCAGTATTTTTAATTAAGCAGGGTAGAAAACAATTGCTCTGCTAATAGCATTGCTCTAGTTTATTAGGCAGAAGCACCTGAAAATCCCCACCACTACCGCTACCCCTTTCACTGGGCAGAGAGGAAACTGACTTGGAGTCGAGCTCAGGGTGGGGGTTGCAGAACCCTGAGCCATCCCTGTCATGGTGGGACTTAATCCAGGTCTTAATTCATGTGAAAGGTTGTATCTCAGGAGCTTGAGTTGGGTAAATAAATGGTCAAGTCTCCACAGGGCCTAGTACCTCATCTGAGAACTCCGTGGCCCTCTTAGCCCACTAGGATCAGAGTTGTGCTGGCCTGTCCGCCCTCTGCTCTGACTGTGTTGCTGTTCTGGGCTGAGATGTCTAATCCTAGTAATTCTTCCAGGAAAGGTTCTCATCAGAAAGGTCCTTGCTTGTGGTTCCAGAAGTTCCTAGACTAGAAGTGCCGTCTTCCAGTGTGTTTTGTTTCTTAGAGGGGTCTGACTGGTCATCTCAGTTGCTTGTCACAGTGAAGGTATGTGTTCCGCCTGGCTGACTTGTCCCGCAGCCTAAGCCGCTGTTCTCTTCGCTTCTAGTGTGAAATCAAGGTGGCCCAGCCCAAAGAGGTCTATCAGCAGCAGCAGTACGGCTCAGGGGGCCGTGGAAACCGCAACCGAGGGAACCGAGGCAGCAGCGGTGGCGGTGGAGGTGGAGGTAAGTGGAATCTGGATGAAGATGGGTCCTCTCCTTGGTCGCAGGGTGTCTTCCGTGCTTGTCTCTGGGCAGCTCCTGGTGTTTTCCTGTAGCAGTGGTGGGTGGGCAGTGTGAGGTGGAATTGGGAGCGGTTTTCCGGATCAGCCATGTGCTTGTGCTCTGTGGCCCCTTGGACTGGGGCAGCCTGGCGTAGTCCTGCTTGGGGCCCCACTGCAGAGAGCGCGTGTTGGCATGCCGGGTTGTGCTTGGCTCCGTGGCTGTCTTGAGACTTGGGCAACCCAGGGCTGGGTGGGGCCAAAGGGTAGGGCAGAGCTGTGCCAGGCGCTTCCATCCCAGGCCCTCTGACTCCAAAGCCTGAGCTGCATCTTCAAGGCCGAGCTGCAGGGTGGGCGGGCTAATGAGCGAGTAGCCACCTGAGTGTGAGGGAAGTTAACATCTGGCTCCCGATAGGGTCTCAGGTGCAGGGTTGGGCCGAGATACCTCTACACCACACAGCAGGCCCTTGGCTTCTGCTTGAGTTGCCATTGTAACCCCGCCACCCAAAGGGCAGGATTTCCTCCATCCTAGCTCCTGCGTGTGCTAAACAGTCCCCGGGCCCCTGTGCCCTGCTCCCCCCACAGGTCAGAGTCAGAGTTGGAATCAGGGCTACGGCAACTACTGGAACCAGGGCTACGGCTACCAGCAGGGCTACGGGCCCGGCTATGGCGGCTACGACTACTCGCCCTATGGCTATTACGGCTACGGCCCCGGCTACGACTACAGTAAGTAGGAGAGAGGGCGCCCTCACTCCCTCCGGGGAGGCAGGTTAGACAGTGCAGGGGCCACTGCAGCAGGGCTTTGGAGTCAGACAGGTCTGGCTCAGGCCGTGGTCAGGCGGGGAAGGTTTGAGGATTGATCAGGAGGATGTGTGTCAAGCGCCTGGCACAGGGTAGATGCTCTGTAAGTAGTACTTGCTACTTGTTCTTGTCTCCAGGTCAGGGTAGTACAAATTACGGGAAGAGCCAGCGACGCGGTGGCCATCAGAATAACTACAAGCCATACTGAGGTGGCGGCAGGAGCAGCCGGCGACTGACCGCACGCGCTTTGTTTGGATACGGAGTAAACACAATTATGTACCAAATTTAACTTGGCAAACTTTCTATGGCCTACCCCCTGTGCATCTTATTTAAAATTTTCCCCTTGGAAATCACTCTCCTGTTTACTATTTGCAGAGCTCTAGTTTTAGGCAGCGTGTGGTGTCTCGAGGGGCCAGAGTGGCATTAGGGGCTGATCTGTTACCAGGTTACTCAGAACCAGAGTGGAGGGTCCGCTTCTTGCTGCCGCTCTGCAGCCCAGACCTGTGGACCCTGGTTGTAAAGAGTCAGCTGTATCTTAGGAAACCAGTGTCACCTTTTTTCACCTTTTAATTTTATATTATTTGTGTCATACATTTCCTGTAACGGAAGTGTTAATTTTACTGTACTTTTTGGTACCTCTGGGAATCTAATGTATTGTAAGGTATTTTACACGTGTCCTGATTTTGCCACGACCTGGATACTGAAGCTATCCAAGCTTTTGAAATAAAATTGTAAAAACCCCCAAGCCTGGGTGAGTGTGGGGTGGCTGTGAGTGGGACTGCCGGGACACTGCTGTGGCCTCCCCAGCACAGGTGGCAGCCAGGCCAGCTGCGCTCCAGTGTGTATGGGGCGGGTCCTCCAGCTCCAGTGCCCCCATCCCCAGAGGAGCGGGCTAGGGAGGCAAGGGCTGCCGCCACCTGCTCACCCACCCCAGGTGTGCTTTGTGTGGCAGTACCACCTCAAAAAGCTAAGTGGATGGGACTTCATTGTCATGGGAGCCTCTGACTGCCGAGGGTGCTCAGTGTCTAAGGTACGGGACGCAGCTGGGTTTTAGCACAAGCCGCAAGGCTCACTTACCTGGAGGATGGGCCTGCCGCAGCTGGCTGGCTCAGGCCTGAGGCCTCAGTGTCTCGCAGCTTCTCAGTGTCTCTTCCATACCTGCGAAAGCAGCACCCATGCGGCTTGGTGGCTCACCCTCATCAGCATACCTGCTGTCACTGTTCTTGTGCTTGTGGGCTGGTACCTGTTCTGCTGAGACTGGCCATCTAGGAACCCCAAACCACCAGGGTCTGCAGCCCATCACCGCCATTGGGGATGTGAGCGCCATGTACCTGTGGTCGGCCTGGAAGTCAGCGGTGGAGAGGGTGCTGCTGGGTGTTCCGACTCTGCTGTGCGTGTGACACAGTATCTTTGTCTAAGGGCTGAGTTCTGTGCCTGTCGCACAGCCTTTGTAGAGATCTCCCTTAAGTAGGTTCTGGGTTCCAGCCCAGCCTGCATCTCCCAGAGTGACTAGGCCTGGTGCGTTCCCTTCAGTTCCAGCTGATCTTACTCAGCAGCCTCAGCATTGAGCCGCTCCAGCGCAGCAAGTGCAGACCTGCGTCGCACATGACACGTCACAGGCACCTAGCTCCCATTGCCTGGGACTCCTGGACAGCACATCCAGGAGCTGGGAGTTCTGCTGTGGGCCGGGGACCCATGGGCGGCCGCACTGCTTACCTGTTAGAATGGTGTCCAGCCTTGCCACCACGTGCTGAGCATTGTCCCTGCTGAAGCACATGGGTGGCTTAAACTTTAGCACGTTCCTCCCGGGGCCGTCTGTGCTCAGCAAGATGTAGTCCTCCTTCAGCCTGCAAGGAAAGGACACACCTTCTCTTGGCCTTTGAGGCTTGTCTCGGCCTGGCCTGGGCCTGGTGTCCATCACTGCCAAGGGCATGCCTAACCGCTAGCTGGGCCTCAGTGTCTCTTCTCAGCCAACACGTGTGTGGAGCCTTTGGTTGAGCCCGAGATTGCCTACTGGTGGCCCTGGCCACAGTGAAGAGTTCGCCACATGGTTTTTCCCCCTTTGCAGTACTGAGGAGGAACTTGGGGGGCTGTATGCTGAGTTGCATCCCCAGCTGTTTAAAAAAATTCTGAGTCTGACTGTGCACAGACCTGTAACCCCAGCACTTGGGTTTTTGTTCTTGTTTTTTTGGCTGGCTCACGTTGCCTTAAGGACGGGTCTGGTAAGGCGTGTGGAGCTCGGAATCAAACTGGTATCCTGTGCCTGACTGTTTGCATGAGCAGGTGCTTAACAACTGAGCTAACCGGCAGGCCCCCATCCCCAGCACTTGGCAGGCTGAGACAGGAGGCTTGTGAATCTTAGAGTCCAGCTTGGGTTATACAGTGATGCTGTCTCCCCCCAAAATTTGAGTCCGGGTGTCATGTTGATGACGGCTCAAACTAGAGATTCTCCTGCTACATTTTCAGTGCTGGGGTTACTGGATTGTGCCACTTGGCTTCCTTCCTTATTCGTGGTGTAGTGATGCGTGCGTGTGATTTATGTGGATAATGCCCAGCAAATTGGACAGCATGAGGTCACTGAAACCTCGCTTCTGTAACTTTTGTCCTCACTACTTACGTTCCACACGGTATTTAACACTTCCCAGGCTTTAAGGAGCATAAGACCCATTTGTATTGTGGCCACAGAAAAGGGCTCTGGTAATTGTGGCCTCATTCTCTGACTCCTGCACACCTTCTGGAGGTGGGGCATCCTTCTGTTTCTTGGCTCTTTGCCTCCTGTCCTGCTTGGCAGCAATAGCAGTGCCAGCAAGAACAAGGTTTGAACTTTGGAGCCAGGCATGCTGGACTGGGGCAGCTCTGCGCCAGGGCAGGATGGCTGAGGTGGACTGGACTACCTGCCCAGAGCTCCACTGCCACAGTGAGTGCTTCCAGAGGGAGAGGAGGAAGTCAGCCAAGGCTTGCCACCCCAGCGTTCAGTCCCCAAGCTGGTCACTGAGGCCAGGCCATTGCCACTGGAGAAGCTTCACCCTGGATTGCATGTCTCAGCAAAGAATACCACACCAGAGGGCTTTTCCATGGTGGAGAGAGGGGAGGATGGGGCGTTGAATAATAAGGGAGTGCTAACTAGAAGCTGAAGGAGCCCTAAGACCTTATGTCCTGCCTGGGGTTCAAGTGAAAGACAAGCAGGGTGTGACAAGTGTGCCATCCAGGAAGCCTGAGACATGAGGCCGCTTTTCTGTGAATGGGTTCATGCAAACATCTCCACATGGCTAAGCAACCTGCCACTGCAGAACCCTTGGGTACCACTGTGCCAAGTGGTCCTTGTCCAAGACTCCAGCCTGCTTGGGTGTAAGCACCTTGCTAGCCTTAGACTTTTTTTTTTTTTTTTGCACAACCAAGGATTGAACTTGGGCCCTTGTGCTTGCCAGGGAAGCGCTTATTCCACTGAGCCATCTCCCCGGGCCCAGGCATTCTGACAGAGAGGCCACCCAGGACTGGGGAGGCATCTAGTGCCGTGGAGCCACCCTGTCCTGGGACCAGGACCTCTAGAGGAAGGGACAGTGCCAATGCTGCAGCCCACCAGGGGTGAACCTGGAGCAGCAGGGGCAGTGTGGATGGACAGGCCAGAGGGCTACGGTGCCCTGCGTTCAGGAAGTACCTGGATACCAAGTAATCTGCCTCTTCAGTGGCTGGTGTCCTCGTGGCTGCATCTTTCACCAGGTCCACACCAATGAAGAGTCCAATGCCCCTGGAGAAAGTGGCATCCAAAGGCCAGGTGTGAGGGACCAAGCAGCTGTCATGCTGGGGCCTTGGGCAGACCTGGACTGCTGTCCCCAGGTGGCTGCTGAGAGCCTAGGAAGAGGTGGGTGTACAGCCCAGTGGGTAGCAGCAGAGGGAGGGGGCTGCAGATGGGCACAGTAGGCTGCACACCTGGGCTCCCAGCCCGGGCAGCTGTGCATTTGGTGAGGATGCCCTCCACACTCACCTGACATCCCCAATGATGGGGTGCTTTTTTTTCTGCTGTTGGAGGAGCTCCATCAGGAAGCTGCCCACGCAGGTAGCATGAGCCTGGAGCTGTTCCTTCTCCAAAACCTCTAGGACAGCCAGCCCCACTGCACAGGACACAGGATTACCTCCGAACTGAGCCAGGGGATGAAGGCACGTCAGGTGCCCAGTTGGCCGGTCTTCACAGCTCACAGCCTCTGCCCCGTTGCTATGCACATCCCAGGGGTAGTGGCGGTGAATCCTTGAGCTCCTCCAGGGTCCCCACAGCTTTCCTGCCTTCCCAGTTGCTGAGGGATCGCAGCCTAGGTCACAGACCCAGGGGTACAGCAGGGGCTCCCAGAAGAGCAGAGCCAGAGGTGAGCATGCAGGGCTGGGGAGATGGCTCAGTGGAATAAACACTTCCCTGGCAAGCACAAGGGCCTGAGTTCAATCCTTGGTTCCGCCAAAAAAAAACAAAAAACCAACACAGGTGAGCATGCATTATGTTCTCATCTGGTTTTGCCAGGGAGGCCTTAAGGAACCAGGCCTCAGTTCAAGGCCCAAAGTGACACCCTATCTCAAAAATAGGCTGGTAGCGTAGCTCAGGGCTGTATGGTGAGTTCTGCAAAGAACACCAAAGCTTGCCCCTGAAAAGCCAGTGTGAGTGGTCCCAAGTTCATGGCTCTATTGACTGGGCCTGAGTTACTGGGAACCACGTCCAGCCTCTGGGAATGTGGACTTGAGTGGTATTTCTCAAAGTTAGGGATTGGGTGCTACACGTAGAGAGGTTATACACACGTTTGTGCCATCTGCCTGCCCAGTATCCGGCTGTGGGCAGGTCCCTTGGTCAGTCTTGAGTGCTTTCTGCTGTGTGGGCTGGGTGGTGACAGTCACGCCCACAAGCCCCTCTCCGTGTGGGTTTGGTCTCTAGAGCTTTGTTTTACTAGTTGGCTTTTTGTGGAATGGTCCATACCACCAGGTGCAAATGAATTACCCAAGTGGCCGTAAGGTGGAATGACCTTCCTGATCCAGCCTTAAGGTCACATGACACCGCTTCTGCCATCCGCCTTCCTACAATACAAGGGTGGCCATAGTCTACCTTTGGATGGTAGTGGCCCTGTCACAGAAACACAGAGAATGGAAAGTACTGTGACAACATAAGAAATGCGCTTGACAGTGCTTCCCATGCAGAATGCTCTCCCTTTCCTCAAGACCTCCAGAATTTCAACTTCATTGCAGTACTTAGTCTCCGCTCTCCTCAGTCTTGGCCCTCATCAGTCAGGTCAGGCAGAGCTGCAGATTAGGCTGCCCAGCTGTCATCCCCCAGGTGCATTTCCTCATTGACCTAGGACCCAGAATGGCCTGGGTTGGCTTTAAACATGGCATCCTCCTGCCTCATTCTCCCAGGTGCCTAGGACTTCAGGTGTGCACTAGCATGCCCACCATTAGTCTGTTCAGTTTGTACAATTATTCCATTGTACTGGCCTGCTGTAACATGTAGTCTGTTGATGGACCCTTCAGTTACTTTATTTGGCACGGGGTATCGGTAGGCAGCTTGGACTCATCCTCCTATGTCAGCCTCCCCAGTACCATGCCTGGTTCCGGGGCCAGCTCAGCATGTGGTACCAGGGATTGAACCTGGGTCCCTGTGCCTGCCAGGCTGGTGCTTAGACTGTTGAGCTATCTCCCCAGCCCACCATTTAGCTATTTTGATTTTTATGTTATTAGGAATCAAACTACTGCGCATTATTTCTACATCCCCTTTTTTCATTGCTCCTAGGTTAAGTGGAACTGTAGGGCTATCTGGCACATGTTTATAAGAAACCAAAACTTGCAAAGTAGTAGTGCCACCTTATGTTCCCACACTGCATCCTGAGATCCAGTTCTACACTCTCAACATTTGGACTCACCAGTCTTTTTCTGTATCATGAACTACAAGATTGAGTAGTTTTTCATCTAAACTGTTCAAACCAGAAACTTTCAGTGTCATGTTAGCACTCAGATTTGGATTTCAGCGTTTCTGGTCATGACTGGGATTACGGAGATCTGAAGTGTTGTAAAGGGTAGAAGTTGGGTTACGAGTGGAGCTCGGTGGCTGGGCCTTGCCGAGCACTTCTGAGGCCCTGCGCTGTACCCCCAGCACCTGGGACAGGGGTGTTACTAATACAGTCTGACTTAGCGTCACAACCTGACCCAGCTGGAACGGCACAGTGGCTGGGTTCTCCCTGGGGATGGTCCCAGAGAAACTATAGAAAAAAGTGAAAACTGGGAAAACCTGGGGTTGAACATGTAGCATGGTGACTGGCCTAAAGCAGAAAGCAGCCCTCCAATGGCAGTGGAGAGCTAAAATAGGGAAGATCAGCATGGTGGTATATACCCACAGACACTCCATTTGAGGCTGAGGCCAGAGGACTGCAAGTTTGAGACCATCCTGGGCTACAGAATGAGCTCAAGGCCAGCATAATACAGGGAGACCATGCCTGGAAAAAACTGAAACAATGCTGGGAGTGAGGCACATGGCTGTGGTACTTGGGAAGCCGAAGGGTGAGGGTTAGGGTCTGAGCTCAGCCCGTGCAGCAGCAACACCTTATTGAGAGCTAGTCTCAAAAATAATAAAGGCAAAGTGCTGGCTGGGGATGTAGCTCAGATGAAAGGCCCTGGATTCACTCTCCAGCATCATAGACAACAAGAAGTACAAGCGTTAACATCTAGCTAATGCTAGGAATCCTACACAGAGAAATAGTTAAAGACATTACAAGATCAGGGAACAATACAAAAGCAAAAGAGCTCGTAGAGTGGTAAGAGAAATGCATATCTGGACACATGATGAGATTTATAATAGTAAAGACAATTGTTTCCAAAAATTTACAGAGAAATCACATAAAAAAGAATCTGATTTCAGGGTGACCTGAAGTGAAAATGGCAAGGAAGAATGAAAAAAAAAATTGCAATTAACTTTTGTCTTTTCAATACAGGATACTGCTACTCTTGATCGTCCTGTCTCAGCTTCCCCAGTGCTGGGATGATAGGCTTGTGCCACCACACCCGGTTCTGGGCCAGCACTGTGTGCAATACCGGCATCAGAACTTGGTACCTTGTGCTTGCTAGGCAGAGGCTTATGCCTCCGAGCAGTCTCCCCGCCCTGCATTACACCAGGTGTGGTAGTGCACGCCTATAATCCCAGCTTTGGGGAGGCTGAGACAGAAGGATCAGTAACCAGTCTGCACTGTGTAGGACCCTTTACCAAATAAGATTAAAAAAAAAAAAAACAAAAACCCATGGGGCTGGTGAGATGGCTCAGTGGTCTAAAGCACCTACTTAGAACAAGCTTAGCAAAGCACAGGGACCACGGTTCAATCCCCCAGCACCACATGCCAGCCAGCCCCGCCCCCTGGTGGGCTGAGCTGGCCACACACACACACACACAAATACAAATTAAAAAAAAACAAAACCCCAGCTTTTGTGGGGTGGTGGTGGTGGTGGTAGTGTTGAGACACTCAGGCAATCATGGAGTGCTGCAAGCAGCTTCTTTAGAACTCGGGAGAGTAAGCAGGCTCCCTGCAGACTGCAGCTTCTGAGCTGGAAGCCTCTTCCCAGAGCACTGCTGTCGGGCCTCCCTGTTGTTCCCAAGATTCATCCACAGGTGGGCTTGCTTCACACTGGCTGCCACCAGCAAAAATCCTTTTCTAGCTGGGTGCAGTGGTATGCCTGTAATCTCAGTACCTGGGAAGTTGGGGGAGGAGACAGTTCAAGACCAGCCTGGATTACACAGTAAACTCAAGGGAGCCTGAACTGCAGAGAAGACTTTTTCTGCTGGGGAGATAACGGCGGTCTAAGCGCCTGCCTGACAAGTGCAAAGACCTGGATTTGATCCCCAGAACCCTATGCTGTGCCAGCTACTGAAACAGGATGTGGTGGTGTAATCCCAGCTCTGGGGAGGCTGAGACAGGAGGATCACTACTAGTCCACAGGAGACCCTTTAATAATTAGAAGATTTTAAAAAATGAAAAAAGACCTTTTCTGGGAGGTGGTGGTAGTAGTGTTGAGGCACTCCGAGGTAATCCTGTAAGTGATTCAAAAGCTTAGGAGGGCCAGGTGTGGTGGTGCACACCTGTGATCCCACTGCTTGGAGGAGGATTGTTAAGTTTGAGACCAGCCTGGGCTGCAAAGTGAACTCGGGCAGCCTCAACACCATAGCAAGACCCTGTCTCACAAAGATTAAAGTAAATAAGTGAAAAGCTTAAGAGGAAAAGCTGGGCATGAGCTATCTGTGGGAGTCCTGAGGAGCTGGGAGACCCTAGTATGCCCATGCCCAGTGCAGGGAGCAGGTCACTGCCCTGGAAACCCTCCAGGCAGGAAGGCTGCAGGGGAGATGAGACTGCCAGCAGGTGTCACCTACACCAGTCCTCGTACGCAGAGATTTCAGTTTCTCAAGATAACCAGGTAACCTGGCAGAGACGGCAGTGGCCACATGTTAAGAGAACACAGACATAAGGGATTATTTTCGGAAAACCACCAAACAAAACACTACCGTACGGAGGTAATATGACTTCCAGGGGTGCCACGTCATGTTACGTCTGCTGTGAGTAGGAAATTATAGATGTGAAAAAGAAGATGAGCAAAGAGCATGGCCCTAGTGGGACAGAAACTATCAGCAGTAGTTGAAAAATCCCCAACACAGACCTTATTAGAGAAAAAGGTAAGAAATTAAGTTTATGACAACTAAAATAGCTGGACATGGTGGTACACAATACTAGCACTCAAGGAGGCTGAGGCAGGAAGATCACTTTGAATTCAAGGCCAGCGTGAACTATGTATTAAGACCCTGTTTCAAAAAATGAACTAAAATAAATAGTTGAAAGTCAGCTTTAACTGGCTGGCAGGACCCTATCTTTGTCTTTAAGAAAAAAGGAACAAAAGAAAATCTAGAGCTGAAAAACAGAAGCCAGGTATGGTTGTGCATGCCTATAATCCCACCACCCAAGAGGCTGAGGCAGGGGACTACTGCAAATTACAGGACAGTCTGCAATACGTAGTGAGACCTTTTCTCAAAAGCGCACACACACAAAAAGCACAATCACTGAGGTGCACAGTTCCCCAGATCTGGGTGTGCTGGTACATGGCTGTAACCCCAGCACTTCGGAGGCAGAGGCAGG